GAAGTACAGATCAGGGTTGGGTTATAAAAAAATATTCGAAACTTTGAACATCCAACGGAGCACCATTAAATCCATTATTAAAAAATGGAAAGTATATGGCACCACAACAAACCTGCCAAGAGAGGGCCGCTCACCAAAACCCATGGACCAGGCAAGGAGGGCAATAATCAGAGAAGCAACAAAGGGACCAAAGATAACCCTGAAGGAGCAGCAAAGCTCCACAGCGGAGATTGGAGTATCTGTCCATAGGACCACTTTAAGCCGTACACTCCACAGAGCTGGGCTTTATGGAAGAGTGGCCAGAAAAAAGCCATTGCTTAAAGAAAAAAGTAAGCAAACACGTTTGTTGTTCACCAAAAGGCATGTGGGAGACTCCCCAAACATATGGAAGAAGGTACTCTGGTCAGATGAGCTTTTTGGCCATCAAGGAAAATGTCTTTGTCTGGCGCAAACCCAACACCTCTCATCACCCCGAGAACACCATCCCCACAGTGAAGCATGGTGGTGGCAGCATCATGCTGTGGGGATGTGTTTCATCGGCAGGGACTAGGAAACTGGTCAGAATTGAAGGAATGATGGATGGTGCTAAATACAGGGAATTCTTGAGGGAAACCTGTTTCAGTCTTCCAGAGATTTGAGACTGGGACGGAGGTTCACCTTCCAGCAGGACAATGACCCTAAGCATACTTCTAAAGCAACACTCGAGGGGTTTAAGGGGAAACATTTAAATGTCTTGGAATGGCCTAGTCAAAGCCCTGACCTCAATCCAATTGAGAATCCGTGGTATGACTTAAAGATTGCTGTACACCAGCGGAACCCATCCAACTTGAAGGAGCTGGAGCAGTTTTGCCTTGAAGAATGGGCAAAAATCCCAGTGGCCAGATGTGCCAAGTTTATAGAGAAATACCCCAAAAGACTTGCAGCTGTAATTGCTGCAAAAGGTGGCTCTACAAAGTATTGACTTTGTGGGGGTGAATAGTTATGCACGCTCATGTTTTCTGTTTTTTTGTCTTATTTCTTGTTTGTTTCACACAAAAATGGTTTTTGTATCTTCAAAGTGGTAGGCATGTTGTGTAAATAAAATGATACAAACCCCCCAAAAATCCCTTTTCATTCCAGGTTGTAAGGCAACAAAATAGGAAAAATGCCAAGGGGGGTGAATACTTTCGCAAGCCACTGTATGTCATGCAAAGTAACTTATTTTCCTATTCTGCCTATCACTCCTAGTCTCCATCCTTACCACTGAACTGTATAGCCTGCTGACACCAAATTGAGTCAAAGCATGATACACTGCCCCTTGATAACTCAGTTTGGTTTTTTTCGACTCACCCACCTCGCTAACGCATTTTGGATGGACCGCAACAGCCGCAAGTTATCGAGGTGATGGCGCATTTCAGTCTCTCAATCCTTTGATCAAAGACCCATATGAAAAACATTAATATAAAACATTAAAACTGAACCCAATTGTGCTCCGCCGCTGTATCAAAGATAACTGTATGGCCTAAAGTAGAACTGTATGTGTCACTGTGTCTGGGATGCAGAAAGGGGCACCATCCACTCATAATGGATGTTCTTCAGGAGTAATGAAAAGGATGTAATGCTGTACCATTATGCTTTGAAAGACACATTTTAAATATCAATCATTGTTTCTTCAATTTTCAGTTGGAATGGTCTGGCACACACCTTTTCATTCTATCTTGAACAAAACCAAAAAAAGACCTGCCAACGAATTCACAACATTTCCAAAGGGGCCATTTCCTTACAAGACTATAGGTAAAAACTAAGTTGGCACTTAAGAACCACTGTATTTACACCAAAAGTGTGTGGACACACCTTCAAATTAGTGGATTTGGCTATTTCAGCCACAGCCGTTGCTGAGAGATGTATAAAATCGAGCACACAGCCATGCAATCTCCATAGACAAATATTGGCAGTAGAATGGCCAGTACTGAAGAGCTCAGTGACTTTCAATGTGGCGCCGTCATAGGATGCCACCTTTCCAACAAGACAGTTTGTTAAATTTCTGCCCTGCTAAAGCTGCCCCGGTCAACTGTAAGTGCTGTTATTGTGAAGTGGAAAGTTCTAGGAGCAACAACGGCTTAGCTGCGAAGTGGTAGGCCACACAAGTTCACAGAATAGGACTGCCGAGTGCTGAAAAATCATCTGTCCTCGGTTGCAACACTCACTACCGAGTTCCAAACTGCCTCTTGAAGTAATGTCAGCACAATAACTGTTAGTTGGGAGCTTCATGAAATGGGGTTCCAGGGCAGAGCAGCCGCACACAAGCCTAAGATCACCAATGCCAAGCGTTGGCTGGAGTGGTGTAAAGCTTGCCGCCATTGGACCCTGGAGCAGTGGAAATGCGTTCTCTGGATTGATGAATCACGCTTCACCTTCTGGCATTCCGACGAACGAATCTGGGTTTGGCGGATGCCAGGAGAACGCTACCTGCCCAAATGCATAGTGCCAACTATAAAGTTTGGTGGAGGAGGAATAGTGGTCTGGGGCTGTTTTTCATGGTTCGGGCTAGGCCCCTTAGTTCCAGTGAAGGGAAATCTTAACGCTACAGCTTACATTAGATTTATGTCATTTAGCCGACGCTCTTATCCAGAGCGACTTACAAATTGGTGCATTCACACTATAGCCAGTGGGATAACCACTTTACAATATATTATTTTTATTTTATTTTTAAATTTGGGGGGGGGGGGGGGGGGGGGGGGGGTAGAAGGATTACTTTATCCTATCCCAGGTATTCTTTAAAGAGGTGGGGTTTCAAGTGTCTCCGGAAGGTGGTGAGTGACTCCGCTGTCCTGGCGTCGTGAGGGAGCTTGTTCCACCATTGGGGTGCCAGAGCAGTGAACAGTTTTGACTGGGCTGAGCGGGAACTGTGCTTCCGCAGAGGTAGGGGGGCCAGCAGGCCAGAGGTGGATGAATGCAATGCCCTCGTTTGGGTGTAGGGACTGATCAGAGCCTGAAGGTACGGAGGTGCCGTTCCCCTCACAGCTCCGTAGGCAAGCACCATGGTCTTGTAGCAGATGCAAGCTTCAACTGGAAGCCAGTGGAGTGTGCGGAGGAGCGGAGTGACGTGAGAGAACTTGGGAAGGTTGAACACCAGACGGGCTCCGGCATTCTGGATGAGTTGTAGGGGTTTAATGGCACAGGCAGGGAGCCCAGCCAACAGCGAGTTGCAGTAATCCAGACGGGTGATGACAAGTGCCTGGATTAGGACCTGTGCCGCTTCTTGTGTAAGGCAGGGTCGTACTCTCCAAATGTTGTTCTATGACATTCTAGACGATTCTGTGCTTCCAACTTTGTGGCAACAGTTTGGGGAAGGCCCTTTCCTGTTTCAGCATGACAATGGCCCAGTGCACAAAGCGAGGTCAATACAGAAACGGTTTGTCGAGATCGGTGTGGAAGAACTTGACTGGCCTGCACAGAGCCCTGACCTCAACCCCATCAAACACATTTGGTATGAATTGGAATGCCGACTGCGAGCCAGGCCTAATCTCCCAACATTAGTGCCCGACCTCACTAATGCTCTTGTAGCTGAATGGAAGCAAGTCCCCGCAGCAATCTTCCAACATCTAGTGGAAAACCTTCCCAGAAGAGTGGAGGCTGTTATAGCAACAAAGGGGGGACCAACTCCATATTATTGCCCATGATTTTGGAATGAGATGTTCGACGAGCAGGTGTCCATATACTTTTGGTAATGTAGTGTGTGTAAACTGCTACATTGTATGGACTTCAGGTGAGCTTGGACACTTTTTCTGTACTTTGTTCGTGGTGCTTGAATGAGGAAGTCAACATTGGAAGCGCCAAAATCAGGGTTGGGTAGGCTACTTTCTAAATGTAATCTGTTACATTCACTAGTTACCTGTCCACATTTTTTATCAGTAACATAACTTTTAGATTATGCAAAGTAATCTGATTACTTTCCCCTTTAGAGGCATTAGAAGAAGACCAAAAGGAATTGAATGTCATTGAGAATACAAGTCCCCTTCACAAACATCCTTTCTGAATTGAAAAGTAATCCCAGAAGTAATCATCTAGTTTTCAAAAGTATCTGTAACAATGTTTTAGCTGTCAACACAACTGATTACAATTTTTCCCCTAATCAAATTACATGTTAGTGATTACATGTAATCCGTTACTCCCCAACCCTGCCTGAAATTCATAGCCAAGTGTGGAGGTGATGCATTTGCTGTCACCATGCAATTTGAGCTTCAGTGCAGTCCTGTGAAATATGAATATAGGATCTTAGCAAGGCTGCTGAACTCATTTTTAGACTGTGGCTTTAATTCACTTTCCAGCACTGGTGTACTGAAAACCCCCTCTTGCTGAGAAGTCTGTCTGCCATGCCAGATGTTAAAGGTGTTTTAAGAACGGTAAAAGTACAGTGGCAAGTGTACGATTGAGTTGAGATCTACTTGTGATGGTCACTAATTTCATGTGTTAGTTGTAAAACCTTTCTTATTGATTCATCTGATCCTACTTGTAACAACATATGAGAAGCATGTCCTGATTAGAGTTTGAGAGGTGCTCCCCTTGTGTTATAAGCTCTCATGAAGATGATCCGTTAAATCTATTCAAGCAGATCAGACCAGCATTGAAGTCAATTCCAGCCATTTCAGTACATGGCTGGAATGAAACCCAATTAGATTTCAAATTGACTTTTTGTATTTTATTATAGACAATCTCCTTCATGTCAACTGAAATTACATTTACTAAATTGTCTGGAATCCAAATTAAATGGACCCAACATGAATGGTTATTATTGTCGTGTTGTGGATGGAAGAATTGTGTACTCATGTCTAAAATCAGTCACATGACCTAAACTTTGATTAGTTGATTGATTGATTGACCTAACCTTTCTGGGTATGTTGGTATCTCCTTGTTGTGTTGCAGGTGACTTGCTGGCTACTGTACCATCACACTCCTTCCATTCCTGAGGAAACCCTCTTCACGACCACACTCCTCCTCTCTTCACCTCCACTCCCAGTATGGAACCCAACAAAGTCCAGCCAGAGGGCGGCCTCAATGTCACCCTCACCATCCGCCTCCTCATGCACGGCAAAGTAAGCAGTCTCTAGTCTTCATACATCACTGGTTAAGGAAGAGTAACCTAGATAATAGTTGATATATGCCTGACTTAAGTAGCTCACCCAGAACATGGAATCATGACATGAAGAGAACGTTTTCCTTTCACCTTGTCAGACCGTTTCTGCAACACTACATTTTGACAAAAAAGTAATAAAATCATGCGGGCGTTGGAGATCAAATCAAATCAAATTGTATTTGTCACATGCGCCAAATACAACAGGTTTCACCTTACAGTGAAATGCTTACTTACAAGCCCTTAACTAACAATGCAGTTTTAAGAAAGAATACCAAAAAACATCACACAAAAATACAATATAAAATAATACGAAATAAAAGTAACAAATAATTAAAGAGCAGCAGTAAAAATAACAATAGCGAGGCTATATACAGGGGGTACCGGTACCGAGTCAATGTGCGGGGGCACCGGTTAGTCAAGGTAATTGAGGTAATATGTACATGTAGGTAGAGTTATTAAAGTGACTATGCGTAGAGGTCACATGCATGATGGGGGTGTGTGCCAGTGGGTCTGGGCAGGTGTGATGTAGTTGATGTTTGTATGATCTTTTAATAATAATAATAATAATAATATGCCATTTAGCAGACGCTTTTATCCAAAGCGACTTACAGTCATGCGTGCATACATTTTTTTTTGTGTACGGGTGGTCCCGGGGATCGAACCCACTACCTTGGCGTTACAAGCGCCGTGCTCTACCAGCTGAGCTACAGAGGACCACCTTTTCATTTGTATGTGTATGTTTTGTATCATTTATAAAATCTAAAATAAAATCTAAAAATAAAAATAAAGGACAAACATCAATTCAAATAAAAAAGAGTAATCTCTTACACTGCAATGTTATCTCACAACCAAACAGAAGCTAGATGGAAATGTTGTTGGAATGTTTGTTGTTGTTAACTGGCAAGCTGGCTGCCGGTGACTCAGCTGCTGTCCTTCTGGGTGAGGCTGAATGCATGTGACTTTGAGCACCATGGAGGAGAGGTGAGAGAGTGTTAGCGCTCAAAGCCAACACTGCCCGGCTTCCCTAGTCGTACTGTACCAGACCAAGATGATAGAGAGTGATTGTGTGCATATTTTAATTTGGCAACAATTAGATTGGGTAGCTGTACGACCTTTGCAAGTACATTGTTATTCTCACTTGGGATCTTTGCAAGTGAATATGAAGTGATGCCTCAAAAAGCTGTGGTAACACTTTATATTAAGGCCCCTTAATAAACCATTTATAAACAGTTTATAAAGAGTGTACTTACCATGTATTAATAGTTGTTCCTTCATTTGTAAATGTCAATAAGCAATATTTTAAGTCATTTACGCATTTATTAACACTATTTAAATTATGCATTATTGATTTATGAGATAATTAATAAGGTGTTTGATCATAGTATGTTCACAATTTGTAAATTATTAATAATATACTTATAAACCAGCTATAAAGGAGTTATTGTCAACTCTTTTGATTATTTATAAGGCATTTGTTAACGGTTGATTAATGGTTTGACTCAGCATTTATTTACATATTTATGAATGTGTTTATAATATTTCATGAATGAGATATTTTTTTATTGATAATGAGTGCATTTGTAAATGTGAGTACATGCACTTACTAATACCTCAGTTGATGATTAATGTAGCTCCTTATAAACCATTGACTAATTATTAGTCAACTATTTTGCACCCCCTAATCTGCACTATATACAGTGAGTATACCAAACATTAGGAACCCTCAGAACAGCCTGGTGGGCCATTCTTGATACACACGAGAAACTGTTGAGTGTGAAAAACCAAGCAGCATTGAAGTTCTTGACACAAAACGGAGCAACTGGCACCTACTACCATACCCCGTTCAAATGCACTTAAATATTTTTGTCTTGCTCTTGCCCATTCACACTCTGAATGGCACACATACACAATCCATGTCTCAATTGTCTCAAGGCTTAAACATCCTTGTGTAACCTGTCTCTTCCCCCTCATCTTTGAAGTGGATTTAACGAGTGACATCAATAAGGGATCATAGCTTTCACCTGGTCAGTCTATGTCATGGAAAGAGCAGGTGTTCTTAATGTTTTGTTTACTCAGTGTATACTATATAAATGACTTGTTACTCCTCAAAAGCTGGCCACATTAGTAGGAAGTACCTGACACTTGCTTGAACAATTTCAGTTACATATTTCATAAGCTTCATAACTGCAGCCATTAACAAAGGCCTGATAAATCACAAGTGATCCTCAACTTCAGCAACTTGCACTTGAAGCAAAAGCATATGTGCAGTGCTATATGGCCGTTTAACACTAGAATAGCCGGGCCTCGATTAATACAAATAGCTGCCAATGACGCTTGGGGCGTCTACATTTTAACAAAGAAATCCATTTAATATACACCATCACAAATAAATACATTTTTCATTTAGGCTAGTCTAAAGAAACATTATGATATTAAGAAAATGTATTTCAAAAGAACAGAATAGCATATTTTTTGTTGAATTATGTTACTGTGCTTAGTTATCCAAAACTCGACTTGAAGTTCAGTCCTATGCCACCGCGGTGACGAACAAGGGATATGGCTTGAAAATGTACCCCAATCCAGGGATGGAAGGTGTCACTGTACTCCTAATTTACCATTATCCAAGACGCAATATCGAGAGGATTGAAATACTGCTCGTTTTTAATTAAACTGCCATTTTTGTCAGCATGCTAGGCTAGCGTGGAGCATCAGGTACTGTCTACTAATGTGGCTAGCTTTTGGGAGGTGGTAAGTAATTTATAAACGCTTATAAAGTATATATAGTCACACTTTAGATTAGGGGCTGCAAAATAGTTTATTCATAATTAGTAAATGGTTTATAAGTGGGTTATGAGGATGTACATTAATCATCAACTGAGGTACAAGAAAATGCAAATCCACTAGATGGCACTTCTCGTGGCCGCTGATTTTAATGCAGGGAAACTGAAATCAGTTTTACAAAATGTTTACCAGCATGTCACCTGTGCAACAAGAGGGAACAAAACTCTAGATCACATTTACTCCACTCATAGAAACGCATACAAGGCTCTCCCTCGCCCTCCCTTTGGCAAATCTGACCATAACTCTATCCTCCTGATTCCTACTTACAAGCAAAAACTCAAACAGGAAGTACCAGTGACGAGCTCAATACGGAAGTGGTCCGATGAAGCGGATGCTAAGCTACAGCACTGTTTCACTAGCACAGACTGGAATATGTTCCGTGATTCATCCGATAACATTGAGGAGTTTACCACATCAGTCACCGGCTTCATTAATAAGTGCATCGACGATGTCGTCCCCACAGTGACCGTACGTACATATCCCAACGAGAAGCCATGGATTACAGGCAACATCCACACTGAGCAAAAGGCTAGAGCTGCCGCTTTCAAGGAGCGGGACACAAATCCAGATGCTTATAAGAAATCCCGCTATGACCTCGTCGGATGTGGCAAGGCTGGCAAACTATCATGGATTACAAAGGGAAACCCAGTCGCGAGCTGCCCAGGGATGCGAGCCTATCAGATGAGCTACACAGACCAAAAATATGAATGCAACATGCAACAATTTCAAAGATTATACTGAGTTACAGTTAATATAAGGAAATCATTCAATTGAAATAAATGTGTTAGGCCCTAATAAATGGATTTTACATGACTGGGAATACAGACATGTGTCTGTTGGTCACAAATACCTTAAAAATAAGGTAGGGGCATGGATCAGAAAACCAGTCATTATCTGATGTGACCACCATTTGCCTCATGCAGCGCGACACATCTCCTTCGCATAGAGTTGATCAGGCTGTTGACTATGCCCTGTGGAATGTTGTCCCGGTCCTCTTCAATGGCTGTGCGAAGTTGCTGGAAATTGGCGGGAACTGGAACACGCTGTCGTACATGTCGATCCAGAGCATCCCAAATATGCTCAATGGGTGACATGTCTGGTGAATATGCAGGCCATGGAAAAACGGGACATTTTCAGCTTCCAGGAATTGTGTACAGATTGTTGCGACATGGGGCCGTGCATTATCATGCTGAAACATGAGGTGATGGTGGCGAATGAATTGCACAACAATCGACCTAAGGATCTTGTCACGTTATCTCTGTGTATTGAAATGGCCATTAATCAAATGCAATTGTGTTCGTTATCCGTAGCTTATGCCATCACATACCATAACCCCACCGCCACCGCCACCATGGGGCACTCTGTTCATAAAGTTGACATCAGCAAACCACTCGCCCACATGACGCCATACACGCTGTCTGCCATCTGCCCGGTACAGTTGAAACCGGGATTCATCCATGAAGAGCACACTTCTTCAGTGTGCCAGCGGCCATCGAAGGTGAGCATTTGCCCACTGAAGTCAGTTATGATCCTGCAGGTGAAGAAGCCGGATATGGAGGTCCTGGGCTGTTGTGGTTACACGTCATCTGCAGGTGAGAGGCCGGTTGGACGTACTGCCAAATTCTCTAAAACAACGTTCGCCCATTGAACATTGGACGTTGAACATTCAATTCTCTGGCAACAGCTCTGGTGGACATTCCTGCAATCAGCATGCCAATTCCATGCTCCCTCAAAACTTGAGACATCTGTGGCATTGTCTTGTAGGACAAAACGGCACATTTTAGAGTGGCCTTTTATTGTCCCCAGCACAAGCTGCACCTGTGTAATCATCATGCTGTTTAATCAGCTTCTTGATATGCCACACCTGTCAGGTGGATGGATTATCTTGGCAAAGGAGAAATGCTCACTAACAGGGATGTAAACAAATTTGTCCACAATGTTTGAGAGAAATAAGCTTTTTGTGCGTAAGGAACATTTCTGGGTTCTTTTATTGTTGCGTTTATATTTTTGTTCAGTATAAATGCCAGGAATTACCAGGACGCGTACTCGGAGCATGCGCTGACCAGCTGGCGAGTGTCTTAACTTTTTCACATTTTCAACCTCTCCCTGACCCAGTCTATAATACCTACAGTACATGTTTCAAGCAGACCACCATAGTCCCTGTGCCCAAGAACGGCAAGGTAACCTGTCTAAATGACTATCGCCCATGGCACTCACATCTGTAGCCATGAAATTCTTTGAAAGGCTGGTCATGGCTCACATCAACACCATCATCCAAGACACTCTGGACCCAAATCCAATTTGCATACCGCCCCAACAGGTCCACAGATGACACAATCTCTATTGTACTCCACATTGCCATCTCCCACCTGGAGAAGAGGAACACCTATGTGACAATGCTGTTCATTGACTACAGCTCAGTGTTCAACACCATAGTGGCCTCCAAGCTCATCACTAAGCTCAGGACCCTGGGACTGAACACCTCCCTCTTTAACTGGATCCTGGACTTCCTGACGACCTGTCCCAAGGTGGTAAGGGTTTGCAACAACACATCCGCCACGCTGACCCTCAACACAGGGGCCCCTCAGGGGTGCGTTGAGGGTCAGCGTGGCGGATGTGTTGTTGCAAACCCTTACCACCTTGGGACAGGTCATCAGGAAGTATATTTTATTTGACTCATTAACAATTAATAAATATTCCATTGATGACATACAGTGGGGAAAAAAAGTATTTAGTCAGCCACCAATTGTGCAAGTTCTCCCACTTAAAAAGATGAGAGAGGCCTGTAATTTATATCATAGGTACACGTCAACAATGACAGACAAAATGAGAAAAAAAAATCCAGAAAATCACATTGTAGGATTTTTAATGAATTTATTTGCAAATGATGGTGGAAATAAGTATTTGGTCAATAACAAAAGTTTCTCAATACTTTGTTATATACCCTTTGTTGGCAATGACACAGGTCAAACGTTTTCTGTAAGTCTTCACAAGGTTTTCACACACTGTTGCTGGTATTTTGGCCCATTCCTCCATGTAGATCTCCTCTAGAGCAGTGATGTTTTGGGGCTGTCGCTGGGCAACACGGACTTTCAACTCCCTCCAAAGATTTTCTATGGGGTTGAGATCTGGAGACTGGCAAGGCCACTCTAGGACCTTGAAATGCTTCTTACGAAGCCACTCCTTCGTTGCCCGGGCGGTGTGTTTGGGATCATTGTCATGCTGAAAGACCCAGCCACGTTTCATCTTCAATGCCCTTGCTGATGGAAGGAGGTTTTCACTCAAAATCTCACGATACATGGCCCCATTCATTCTTTCCTTTACACGGATCAGTCGTCCTGGTCCCTTTGCAGAAAAACAGCCCCAAAGCATGATGTTTCCACCCCCATGCTTCACAGTAGGTATGGTGTTCTTTGGATGCAACTCAACATTCTTTGTCCTCCAAACACGACGAGTTGAGTTTTTACCAAAAAGTTCTATTTTGGTTTCATCTGACCATATGACATTCTCCCAATCCTCTTCTGGATCATCCAAATGCACTCTATCAAACTTCAGACGGGCCTGGACATGTACTGGCTTAAGCAGGGGGACACGTCTGGCACTGCAGGATTTGAGTCCCTGGCGGCGTAGTGTGTTACTGATGGTAGGCTTTGTTACTTTGGTCCCAGCTCTCTGCAGGTCATTCACTACGTGCCCCCGTGTGGTTCTGGGATTTTTGCTCACCATTCTTGTGATAATTTTGACCCCACGGGGTGAGATCTTGCGTGAAGCCCCAGATCGAGGGAGATTATCAGTGGTCTTGTATGTCTTCCATTTCCTAATAATTGCTCCCACAGTTGATTTCTTCAAACCAAGCTGCTTACCTATTGCAGATTCAGTCTTCCCAGCCTGGTGCAGGTCTACAATTTTGTTTCTGGTGTCCTTTGACAGCTCTTTGGTCTTGGCCATAGTGGAGTTTGGAGTGAGACTGTTTGAGGTTGTGGACAGGTGTCTTTTATACTGATAACAAGTTCAAACAGGTGCCATTAATACAGGTAAAGAGTGGAGGACAGAGGAGCCTCTTAAAGAAGAAGTTACAGGTCTGTGAGAGCCAGAAATGTTGCTTGTTTGTAGGTGACCAAATACTTATTTTCCACCATAATTTGCAAATAAATTCATAAAAAATCCTACAATGTGATTTTCTGGAAAAAATATTCTCAATTTGTCTGTCATAGTTGACGTGTACCTATGATGAAAATTACAGGCCTCTCTCATCTTTTTAAGTGGGAGAACTTGCACAATTGGTGGCTGACTAAATACTTTTTTCCCCCACTGTATATAAATATATTCATAAATATGTAAAGAAATGGTGAGTCAAACTATGATTAACAATTAGGTGGAAATTGCCACCTGGAGACATGGTGTTGAAAGGGTTAATCAACCATTACCAAATACCTAAAAATAATCTTAGGAGTTGACAGTAATTTCTTTTTTATACCACAGCATTGTTGAATACTCTTTTTTGATTGGCTAGAAGGGCATTCTAGAATGGACATTAAAGCTAGATAACGGGACAGTAGGAAAATATCTCAGGACAGTTGGAAAATATATTGGGACACCTTGCAATCATGGCACAATATGTGCCTACACTTTCAGACCATACTTGCTACAAACTTATAGAAACCTAAACCAACAACTACACAAACTGCAATTGGACACACTGTAAACGCAGGTCCAACGAGATAAAAACGTAGCTAGCTAGCATTGATTTGTTTTTGCAGAGACATATTTTTTTGGAGCATCTAACATTGTCAGTGATGAGCATGAATTTATCCGGTCCCCTTCATGGCTAAAGCTGTCAAATCCTCCCACATGTTTTTAGTTTGACCAGCCGTTTTCAGCAATTGATATTTTTGAATTCGGTTGTCATTTTGGCAGCTTTGCTAGCAAAAAACGATTTAGCTAGCTTCTAGCCTAGTGTTTGATATGCAATGTGATCTCCTCATAATTAACAGTTGTGACTAGCTGGCTGGCTGGCTAGCAGCAAGCAATGAATAAGAATGTTGCCACTGAGCATGGCAACGGAACATAAAGAACCAACGACTGGGTCGCATCCGTAAATATCAAACTAATCAAACGAATGACTGGGTCGCGTCTCTAGCAACCAGAAGATGAGAAAGTATGAATTATAAAAAAATTATAACATTTTAATATCAACTGGGAAAAAATATTTATACCGGCAAATGTGTGCTTTCATATTGTTTTCTTTGGCAACTGTGGTATAAGTGAGATAAACGCCTCCGTTCTGTACATGGAAAAATTTACTCCGCAAATGGACTCGGCTCCACCTCATCCAGCTGCGTCGTCCATTATTTCCAAGGTAATCTACAGAACGTCTGCGTTTATCCCTTACATAGCTGGTTAAGTACATTAGTAGTACATTATAAATCCTTTACAAATTGTGAACATATGATCAAATACCTTATTCATTTTTATTAATTTACAAATGTAGGAATAATGATAAATAAATGTTAAGTAAACTCTTTACAAACTGTTTGTAAATGATTTATTAAGGGACATTAATATAAAGTGTTACCAAAGCTTTATCAATAATCTTATTGTTAGCATTGAGATTACCCTAACATGTTAATAACATCTACTATTTTATATTTATGTTCCCTTATTTTCTTTAGGAGGTTGGAAGTATTATTGGCAAGGTATGCAAGAGTTTGTGTTTATCACGTACTTGTACATAACACAATAATTCGAACAATAGTTACCTGATGCACTGAATCAGAGAAAATATAATTACTTGAGATTACTGTAAACATTTAATGTTTTTCTTCCAGAAAGGGGAAACAGTGAAGAAAATGCGTGAGGAGGTGCGTTGTCAATCCCTCTTTTCTTCGATTATACACTTTCATCATGAGAATTAGAATCAATCCCATGGCTGCTCATAATGACGTCTGTTATTATTCACAGAGCGGAGCACGAATCAACATCTCCGAGGGCAACTGCCCCGAGAGGATCGTCACCATCACTGGCCCAACAGACGCCATCTTTAAGGCCTTTGCCATGATTGCCTATAAGTTTGAGGAGGTATCATCATTTCTCTTGTCCTAAATAACCTCATGTATATGCAGAGGCAGGAGTGCTACCACTGCTTGGGTGAGAACAAATGGAGAATAGCTTTAGATGGTGCTCTCCTTGGGAGGGTTGCTGATTTTTGTCTTCATATTCAGATGAGTTCAAGGCACTCTTCAAATTTGTGAAAATATAAAATGTCTTAATTAGGTTCGCATACTAACAGGGATTAATAAAAACATGGCACAATTTGTTTTTACTACTGTAGGTCATGCTCTGATGAAGGCGTATTAGCCGGTACAGTGAGGGAAAAAAGTATTTGATCCCCTGCTGATTTTGTACATTTGCCCACTGACAAAGAAATGATCAGTCTATAATTTTAATGGTAGGTTTATTTGAACAGTGAGAGACAGAATAACAACGAAAAAAATCCAGAAAAACGCATGTCAAAAATGTTATAAATTGATTTGCATTTTAATGAGGGAAATAAGTATTTGACCCCCTCTCAATCAGAAAGATTTCTGGCTCCCAGGTGTCTTTTATACTGGTAACGAGCTGAGATTAGGAGCACACTCTTAAAGGAAGTGCTCCTAATCTCAGCTTGTTACCTGTATAAAAGACACCTGTCCACAGAAGCAATCAATCAATCAGATTCTCTCCACCATGGCCAAGACCAAAGAGCTCTCCAAGGATGTCAGGGACAAGATTGTAGACCTACACAAGGCTGGAATGGGCTACAAGACCATCGCCAAGCAGCTTGGTGAGAAGGTGACAACAGTTGGTGCGATTATTCGCAAATGGAAGAAACACAAAATAACTGTCAATCTCCCTTGGCCTGGGGCTCCATGCAAGATCTCACCTCGTGGAGTTGCAATGATCATGAGAACGGTGAGGAATCAGCCCAGAACTACACGGGAGGATCTTGTCAATGATCTCATGGCAGCTGGGACCATAGTAACCAAGAAAACAATTGGTAACACACTACGCAGTGAAGAACTGAAATCCTGCAGCGCCTGCTAGGTCCCCCTGCTCAAGAAAGCACATATACAGGGCCGTCTGAAGTTTGCCAATGAACATCTGAATGTTTCAGAGGAGAACTGGGTAAAAGTGTTGTGGTCAGATGAGACCAAAATCGAGCTCTTTGGCATCAACTCAACTCGCCATGTTTGGAGGAGGAGGAATGCTGCCTATGACCCCAAGAACACCATCCCCACCGTCAAACATGGAGGTGGAAACATTATGCTTTGGGGGTATTTTCTGCTAAGGGGACAGGACAACTTCACCGCATCAAAGGGACGGTGGACGGGCCATGTACCGTCAAATCTTGGGTGAGAACCTCCTTTGTTGCCCTCAGCCAGGGCATTGAAAATGGGTCGTGGATGGGTATTCCAGCATGACAATGACCCAAAACACACGGCCAAGGCAACAAAGGAGTGGCTCAAGAAGAAGCACATTAAGGTCCTGGAGTGGCCTAGCCAGTCTCCAGACCTTAATCCCATAGAAAATCTGTGGAGGGAGCTGAAGGTTTGAGTTGTCAAATGTCAGCCTCGAAACCTTAATGACTTGGAGAAGATCTGCAAAGAGGAGTGGGACAAAATCCCTCCTGAGATGTGTGCAAACCTGGTGGCCAACTACAAGAAATGTCTGACCTCTGTGATTGCCAACAAGGGTTTTGCCACCAAGTACTAAGTCATGTTTTGCAGAGGGGGTCAAATACTTATTTCCCTAATTAAAATGCTAATCAATTTATAACATTTTTGACATGCGTTTTTCTGGATTTTTTTGTTGTTATTCTGTCTCTCACTGTTCAAATACACCTACCATTAAAATTATAGACTGATCATGTCTTTGTCAGTGGGCAAACGTACAAAATCAGCAGGGGATCAAATACTTTTTCCCTCACTGTATGTGAAGCAAAAAAGTTTGCCAGGTTTTTATATTTTTTATCCCTGTGGGTATGCCAATTTAATAAAGGAATTTAACATTTAGGCAAATTAAGAGTTATTTTTTTATTTTTTCAATTATGAAGAATAACCTCCTTTACTTTCTTTAACTGTGGTCCAATAAAACCGATTTGCCAACAAAAAGGGAGAAACATAAATGGCCGTGGAGAGAAGGTGTAGTAAACATCGAAGTAAAATATGTCTTACACAGGCAACTGCTTCTTATGCTTGACCAGATTTTCTCCCATTCCAGGATATAATCAATTCCATGAGCAACAGTCCAGCCACCAGCAAGCCCCCTGTCACTCTGCGTCTGGTGGTGCCAGCCAGCCAGTGTGGATCTCTCATTGGGAAGGGAGGTTCCAAGATAAAGGAGATGAGAGAGGTACGGTACAGTACAGGTACAGTAGCGGGCTATACCATGAACATCAGACATGGAGCATGGAATCAAGATGATACCAAGATTGTTTGCATTCTGATTCTTTACCCTTCTACCAGAAGTGTACACTTGCTCACTTCTCAATTTATCATACTTCACTTCACTATCTTATGACTGTTGCCCATACTAAATAAACCCAACAAACTTGTCATACTAGGCAATGCCCCGCACCGTATTACTTGAGTTGTCAATGGCTCTGTGTCTTTGTGAGTGTTACCTTATGTTGTTATTTCCAATACCAATGTAATCTCTACATGTTGATTGTGTTTAATCAAGAGTTCAAGATGCGAGATAAATTCCTGAATAAGGCCAATTTACAGTAAGTGAATTGCACTGAACTGGAACTATGTCTCACTGTGCCATGTCTATCTTTCCCCAGTCCACAGGGGCACAGGTTCAGGTGGCAGGGGACATGCTGCCTAATTCCACAGAGCGTGCCGTGACAATTTCTGGGACCCCTGAAGCCATAATCCAGTGTGTCAAACAAATCTGTGTGGTCATGCTGGAGGTAAAGTATGTTGGAGGGAGAGGACATTTTCAGTTCAATAAAAAGGGAGTTTAGCCACCAAAACCCACATAGCCAGAACAAAGACACAGCGAGAGCCATGCTACTGTTGGCACTCTGAACGGTCCCTGTCCCTAGTTCCCTGCCAAGCTACTCCTGCTGTGATGGTTTAAAAAAATTCTAACATAATCGACTGAACATAATATAATAATTCTCCAGTAACAACTTTGTAGTTTCCAAAAGTTTCAGGGGTAAGACAAAACCAATTTTTGTGCTCGGACAGAGAGAACTGGATTAATCAATTAAATAATTTTAAATTAACAACACATTTAGAAATAAATCCTTGATTCAAATATCCTATCTCACAACATGGGAAGAGTGTTATTTTGCTTTACCTCAGAAATGTGGTCTAGACGCAACTTTTTTATCAAATCAGTCAACTAGTTATTATCTCCCCAATTTATCCCATCGATGTCAACATTGTCTAGTTCCTTGTTGGACTGAAATAGGTTCCGTTACTCATTATGGGTGCCGGTACTGTTTATATTTTGGTGCAGGAGCTCCACAATACTTTTGAGCTAATATTCTAAAAACAGGAGCTCAAGCAGTAGAAAATTTGAGGTGCCAGTACTCAGCTCTGGTGAGCTCCTGCCCAAGTCAAGCACTGCTGGTTGATTTTTTTAATTTAAATTTTTAATTTAACCTTTATTTAACCAGGTAAGCCAGTTGAGAACAAGTTCTCATTTACATCTGCGACCTGGCCAAGATAAAGCAAAGCAGTGCGATAAAAAACTACAACACAGAGTTACATATGGGGTAAACAAAACATAAAGTAAAAAATACAACAGAAAATATATATACAGTGTGTGCGAATGTAGTAAATTATGGAGGTAAGGCAATAAATAGGCCATAGTGCAAAATAGTTACAATTTCGTATTAACACTGGAATGATAGATGTGCAAAAGATGATGTGCAAATAGAGATACTGGGGTGCAAATTAGCAAAATAAATAACAATATGTGAATGAGGTAGTTGGATGGGCTAATTACAGATGGGCTGTGTACAGGTGCAGTGATCGGTAAGCTGCTCTGACAACTGACGCCTAAAGTTAGTGAGGGAGATAAGAGTCTCCAGCTTCAGAGATTTTTGCAGTTCGTTCCAGTCATTGGCAGCAGAGAACTGGAAAGAATGGCGGCCAAAGGAGGTGTTGGCTATGAGGATGACCAGTGAGATATACCTGCTGGAGCGCAGACTATGGTTGGGTGTTGCTATGGTGACCAGTGAGCTAAGATAAGATGGGGATTTGCCTAGCAGTGATTTATAGATGACCTGGAGCCAGTGGGTTTGGCGACGAATATGTAGTGAGTGCCAGCCAACAAGAGCGTACAGGTCACAATGGTGGGTAGTATATGGGGCTTTGGTGACAAAACGGATGGCACTGTGATAGACTACATCCAATTTGCTGAGTACAGTGTTGGAGGCTATTTTGTAAATGACATCGCCGAAGTCAAGGATCGATAGGATAGTCAGTTTTATGAGGGCATGTTTGGCAGCATGAGTGAAGGAGGCTTTGTTGCGAAATAGGAAGCCGATTCTAGATCTAACTTTTGATTGGAGATGCTTAATGTGAGTCTGGAAGGAGAGTTTACAGTCTAACCAGACACCTAGGTATTTGTAGTTGTCCACATACTCTAGGTCAGACCCGCCGAGAGTAGTGATTCTAGTCGGGTGGGCGGGTGAAAGCAGCGTTCGGTTGAAGAGCATGCATTTAGTTTTACTAGTGTTTAAGAGCAGTTGGAGGCTACGGAAGGAGTGTTGTATGGCGTTGAAGCTCGTTTGGAGGTTTGTTAACACAGTGTCCAATGAAGGGCCAGATGTATACAAAATGGTCTCGTCCGCATAGAGGTGGATCCGAGCTTCACCAGCAGCAAGAGCAACATCATCAGAGTCGGCCCGAGAATTGAACCCTGTGGCACCCCCATAGAGACTGCCAGAGGTCCAGACAACAGGCCCTCCGATATGACACATTGAACTCTATCTGAGAAGTAGTTGGTGAACCAGGCAAGGCATTCATTTGAGAAACCGAGGCTATTTAGTCTTCCAATAAGAATGCGGTGGTTGACAGAGTCGAAAGCCTTGGCCAGGTCGATGAAGACGGCTGCGCAGTACTGTCATTTATCAATCGCGGTTATATTATCGTTTAGGACCTTGAGCGTGGCTGAGGTGCACCCATGACAAGCTCGGAAACCGGATTGCATAGCGGAGAAGGTACGGTGGGATTCGAAATGGTCGGTGATCTGTTTGTTAACTTGGCTTTCAAAAACTTTCGAAAGGCAGGGCAGGATGGATATAGGTCTGTAACAGTTTGGATCTAGAGTGTCACCCCCTTTGAAGAGGGGGATGACCGCGGCAGCTTTCCAATCTCCGGGGATCTCAGACGTTACGAAAGAGAGGTTGAACAGGCTAGTAATAGGGGTTGCGACAATTTCGGCGGCTAATTTTAGAAAGAAAGGGTCCAGATTGTCTAGCCCAGCTGATTTGTAGGGGTCCCGATTTTTCAGCTCTGTCAGAACATGCATGGGTAGGTTGCAGCGGAGGGTGCAGAGCTGTGGCCGGGGTAGTGGTAGCCAGGTGGAAAGCATGGCCAGCCGTAGCAAAATGCTTGTTGAAATTCTCGATTATTGTAGATTTATCAGTGGTGACAGTGTTTCCTAACCTCAGTGCAGTGGGCAGTTGGGAGGAGGTGCTCTTATTCTCCATGGACTTTACAGTGTCCCAAAACCTTTTGGAGTTAGTGCTACAGGATGCACATTTCTGTTTGAAAAAGCTAGCCTTTGCTTTCCTAACTGATTGTGTATATTGGTTCCTGACTTCCCTGAAAAGTTGCATATCGCGGGGGCTGTTCGATGCTAATGCAGTACGCCACAGGATGTTTTTGTGCTGGTCAAGGGCAGTCAAGTCTGAGGAGAACCAGGTGCTATATCTGTTCTTAGTTCTGAATTTTTTGAATGGGGCATGCTTATTTAAGATTGAGAGGAAAGCACTTTTAAAGAACAACCAGGCATCCTCTACTGACGGAATGAGGTCAATATCCATCCAGGATACCCGGGCCAGGTCAATTAGAAAGGCCTGCTCGCTAAACTGTTTTAGGGAGCGTTTGACAGTGATGAGGGGTGGTCGTTTAACCGCGGACCCATTACGGACGCAGGCAATAAGGCAGTGATCGCTGAGATCCTGGTTGAAGACAGCGGAGGTGTATTTAGAGGGTAAATCTGTCAGGATGATATCTATGAGGGTGCCCATGTTTACAGATTTTGGGTTGTACCTGTTAGATTCGTTGATAATTTGTGTGAGATTGAGGCCATTTAGTTTAGATTGTAAGTTGGCCGGAGTGTTAAGCATATCCCAGTTTAGGTCACCAAGCAGTACGGACTCTGAGGATAGATGGGGGGCAATCAGTTCACATATGGTTTCCAGGGCACAGCTGGGGGCTGAGGGGGGTCTGTAGCAAGCGACAACAGTGAGAGACTTATTTCTGGAAAGGTGGATTTTTAGAAGTAGAAGCTCAAACTGTTTGGGCACAGACCTGGATAGTATGATAGAGCTCTGCAGGCTATCTCTACAGTAGATTGCAACCCCACCCCCTTTGGCATCGATCTATCGAGACGGAAAATGTTGTAGTTGGGGATGGACATTTCTGAATTTTTGGTGGCCTTCCTAAGCCAGGATTCAGACACTGCTAGAACATCAGGGCTGGCGGAGTGTGCTAACGCAGTGAATAACTCAAACTTAGGGAGGAGGCTTCGGATGTTAACGTGCAAGAAACCAAGGCTTTTACGCTTACAGAAGTCAACAAATGATAACGCCTGGGGAGTAGGAGTGATACTGGGGGCTACAGGGCCTGGGTTAACCTCTACATCACCAGAGGGACAGAGGAGGAGTAGAATAAGGATACGGCTAAAGGCATTAAGAACTGGTATTCTAGTGCGTTGGGTACAGAGAAAAAAACGGGCAGATTTCCGGGCGTTGTAGAATAGATTCAGGGCATTATGTACAGACAAGAATATGGAAGGATATGAGTACAGTGGAGGTAAACCTAAGCGTTGGGTAACGATGAAAGAGATAGCATCACTGGAGGCACAGATTGAGTCGGTCTCCGCGTGTATGTGGGGTGGGACAAAGGAGCTGTCTAAGGCAGGTTGAGCTGGGCTGGGGGCTCTACAGTGAAATAGTACAATAAGAAATAACCGAAACAGCATTAAGCAAGGCATATTGACATGGGAGAGAGGCACAAAGCAGTCACAGGTGTTATTCCAGAGAGCTAAGACAACAGCTGGTAATGGCGACAAAGTTTGGGCTGAGGCTAAACATAAACAGGATGCAGTACTGTATAAAGGAACAGTCCAGCAGGCATCAGCTGTATAGCTGAGTTATCATAAGGTCTGGTGAACAGCAATAGGAGAGTTCGGAGGTAGATTCGGGGGCTGCTATAGCACTGGGGAGCAAGAGGCCCGGCTTGCGTGTGGTAGCGGGCCGGAGCTAGCAGATGGATCTTCGTGGTCGACGTCGTAACGGGAAGCCTGTTGAAACCACATCAGACGATTTCGTCGGCAAACCAGTCATGTTGGATCGGCGGGGCTCGAGGCTAGCTCAAGGCTAACTGGTGCTTGCTAAGGGGCAATGGTAATTAGCCAACGACAACAGCCATTTGGTTGCAGCTAGCTGGTTGCAATGATCCGGCGCTAGGGTCCAGTGATTCCGGCAGAAAATCCGATATGCTCTGGGTCGATAGCACGCTGTGCAGACTGGCCGACAAATTGTCCAGGCTAGAGCTAGAGCTGGCTGATGGGTAGTGCAGGCCACGGACAATGGTGAAGACGCTAACGGTGGCTCATAGCAAGTAGCCATTCGGTTGCAGCTAGACTAGTTTCAGTTTAAGGTTCTTGAAAAAAGTTATAAAGAAATAATAGAATCCTTTTCCATGTTGGGTGAGGCGGGTTGCAGGAAAGTATATTTAGTTAAAGAATTAAAAGTAAAATTGAGAAGAAAAAAAAAACACAGAACACAGATAAAAAACACGACCGCACTGCTACGCTATCTTGGATTCCACAATAGTCTACTTACTAATGTACAGATTATTCTTGTCTGATAACCAGCTAAGCTGACGTGGAGCTTTTGTCTTACAAAGGCTAGTGATACAATCTGATGGAGTTAATCAGTGAATTCCACTCTACATTCACCCAAAAGTCCTCTGTAGCTCAATTGGTAGAGCATGGTGCTTCTAACGCCAGGGTAGTGGGTTCGATCCCCGGGACCACCCATACGTAAAATTTATGCACACATGACTGTAAGTCGCTTTGGATAAAAGCATTTGCTAAATCGCATATTATATTATATTATATTAAAAGTGTATGTGGTGCCACTGCTACATTAATAAATATTGTGTCTCACTCAAGCAGCTACCTAAGGCTGTGTTTATACATCTATCCTAAGAACCCAATTATTTTTCATATCTAATATTTTTTTCTGACTGTCCACACACTTATATGTGACCCCTATCAGATTTGCACATTCAAACTGATGTAGCCTCTGAAATATCACACAGATGCAATGCTCATTTCCTGTCAGTGTTCCTTTAATATTCTGGGTGGTTATCGCGGTAACAGCAGGACATGTGCAAAAAAAACATCTGATCTGAGGTCGCATATGAAACATCGGAATTGTAACAAGATTGAGAACTACATACGAAAATGTGGAATAAGTCGAAACTCAAAAGATCAGATTCAATGTGGTTTTTGCTGTTAACACATTCAGGAAATAATCTTATAGGTATCAGACGCCAATACATTGGAATTGGGCTGCCTCTGTAAACACAGCCAAAGAGCTGCAGCTGCCCCTATTACTGTACATTATTGTTTTTCAAGATATGGCGAATAGAAAGCTACAGTGAGGCACAGACAAACTCCTCACAAAAACACTGGGCTGGGAATACACATCTGTCTGAAACGGCACCCTATTCTCTCTGTACTGTACGACTTAGGTGACATTTTGGATGTAACCTCTGTCTCCCTCGTCTCTCTTGTTAAACCCACGGCCACACACTCAGTCCTGGTCTAACACTCTCTCTGTGTCTTCCCTCTTCCTCTTCTCCTAGTCCCCACCGAAAGGTGCCACCATTCCCTACCGCCCAAAGCCCGCCTCCACCCCCATCATTTTTTCAGGTGGCCAGGTAAGAGCCGAACTGCTGGTGGCGTCCGCAGCCAACCTCAGCCTTTTATTCCAGCACCAGCCACTGCCTGTTAGTGCACTCAGGTTTTCTCAAATTCACACTCACTCGCATGCCGCCCCCTTCTTGTAAAGCCCAATGTACAAAGTTCAGAGCAGGCCACGATAGTCAGCATGGCCCATTATTACATTCTAACAAACCTCATTTGATTGGCTCTTATCTAGTCGTGGACGTATATGACGTATATGACGTATATGACGTATAGACTATCACGGCCTGCGGCTATGAACTTTATAAAGCTAGGCCAAGAGGGAGGGAGGGATATAGGGAAGGAGCTTGTTGCAGGTCACTACTAAATAGAGGGCTATTATAGTTTGTGAAGGTGGTGCTTGAGGACCCCTGTTCAGACGTTTTTGCTCCGACTTTCACTTAATTCTGTTCAATTAATCTCATGTCCACCTCTTGACAGTAGCATTAAAATTATAACCAGGGGTTGGGATGGGGGGGTTGGAACAGAAACCTGCACGATGAGGGGTCCTTTAGGACGTCAAGACCAAAATGGACTGCATGGCTATTGGACTTTTAACACCTTTGTGGGTTAACCATAGATTGTGTTTCAAAGCACTCCTAACTAATGACTTGCATGCAAGCTCTCATTGTACAGTGCACCCCTCCTCTTTCAAAAATATATCATATCCTTTTAACATTCCTGATGACTTGTTAACATCTTTTTAAAGGTAGTCTCAGTGATATGACGTACACTACATTACCAAAAGTATGTGGACACATCTCATTCCAAAATCATGGGCATTAACATGGAGTTGGTCCCCCCTTTGCTGCTATAACAGCCTTGACCAAAGTTGCTTTGACAGACCTACAATTAATCAATGACATATTCTGTCAACTGCACTGCCAGCTACTAACCATTTGTTTAGTAAGGCCTTCAAACATTTAAGTCAGAAACAGGGTAATCCAACACAACAATATATATGCCCAAACTGTAACAGGTCATGTGGCATCAATGATTTGAAGAATAGGAGCGACCTTGTTACCCTTCCTATAGATTCTCAAGTACAAGGTCTGCTTGAAAATGTTAAAGTGAGAGACTCCCTTAATCACAGATATACATGGGCAACATCAGAGAATATACTTGGTGACATTTATGACGGTGAAATATACAAAACCTTCTCTTCCGGGGGGAATTCTTAACAATATATCAAATAAGATTGTATTTGTCACATGCTTCATAAACAACAGGTGTAGACTAACAGTGAAATTATTACTTATAGGCCCTTCCCAACAATGCAGAGAGAAAAAAATGAGATATAATAGAAAAACAGAAACAATTCATAAATAATAACAAGGAATAAATACACAATGATTAACGATAACCTGGCTATATACACGGGTACCAGTCCCAAGTAGATGTGCAGGGATACGGGGTAATTGAGGTAGATTACTACATGGCCAAAAGTATGTGGACATATTGGGGTTTCCAATGTTGACTTCCTCATTCAAGTACCAAGAACAAAGTACAAAAAAAGTGTCTTGAACCACAAGAGCATTAGTGAGGTCGGGCACTGATGTTGGGCGATTAGGCCTGGCTCGCAATCGGCGTTCCGATTCATCCCAAAGGTGTTTGATGGGGTTGAGGTCAGGGCTCTGTGCAGGCCAGTCAAGTTCTTCCACACCGATTTCGACAAACCATTTCTGTATGGACCTCGCTTTGTGCATGGGGGCATTGTCATGCTGAAACAGGAAAGGGCATTCCCCAAACTGTTGCCACAAAGTTGGAAGCACAGAATTGTCTAGAATGTCATTGTATGCTGTAGCGTTAAGACTTCCCTTCACTGGAACTAAGTGGCCTAGCACGAACCATGAAAAATAGCCCCAGACCATTTTTACTCCTCCACCAAACGTTACAGTTGGCACTATTCATTGGGGCAGGTAGCGTTCTCCTAGCATCCGCCAAATCCAGATTTGTCCATCGGACTGCCAGATGGTGAAGCGTGATTCATCAATCCAGAGAACACGTTTCCATTGCTCCAGGGTCCAATGGCGACGTGCTTTACACCACTCTAGCCGACGCTTGGCATTGCGCATGATGATCTTAGACTTGTGTGCGGCTGCTCGGGCATGGAAACCCATTTCATGAAGCTCCCGGCTAACAGTTCTTGTGCGGAAGTTGCTTCCAGAGGCAGTTTCGAACTCGGTAGTGAGTGTTGCAACTGAGGACAGACGATTTTTACGCACTCGGCGCTTCGGCACTCGCCAGTCCCATGGCCTACCACTTCACGGCTGGGCCGTTGTTGCTCCTAGACATTTTCACTTCACGATAACAGCACTTATAGTTGACCAGGGCAGCTCTAGCAGGGCAGAAATTTGACGGACTGACTTATTGGAAAGGTGGTATCCTATGATGGTGCCACGTTGAAAGTGACTGAGCTCTTCAATAAGGCCATTCTATTGCCAATGTTTGTCTATGGAGATTGCATGGCTGTGTGTTCGATGTCATACACCTGTCAGAAATGGGTTTGGCTGAAATAGCCAAATCCAATATTTTGAAGGGGTGTCCACATACTTTGTATAAAAAAAGTCTAGATGCAGAAAGTAACATAGTGAGTCAATTTCCGCAACAACTAAGAGCGTGGAAGCACGAGGCTCAACTCCTCCACTGTTTTGGTGCCCTGGCTACCACGCTGTGAACAGCATGAAGCGTAACTGTGCACATGCGCAGACTGTTTGACTGTGTGAGAGCGAAGTCTTACCACTTGCTCATCTCAATATCTGCGGTGCTGCTTGTGGCAATGTCTTTTCGCTGATTCTACCTTTAACATTCTTGAATACTGCTACTGCTACTAATACCACTACTCATCCACTACCACTACTGTAAATTAGTCAAAAATATTAAATGTAATGAATAGTATTTATAGTCAAGGCATCAAAGTACAAAAATGTCGTTGACTATCACCTATTAAAGGGACATCATATAAGGCAAGTTTTTCAAATGTCATGTTAGTTCATTCACAGAGAATATCAGTGGTTTGAAATTGTTCAGTGTTCATATATTATATAAACGTTATGCAACATTGTCAAGTATAAAATGCTTCCAAGGGAAACAAAGACTATATGAATGAGACAGTACTTAAGTCTGAAATAATTGTAAAAATTGAACTTCAGAGTAGTCTCTGAGGTTACATGTATAAGCCCTATTCCCTGAGAAGATAGATAATAATATTCAGTTTTTGTGTTTCTTCTTCCTCCATACAGGCCTACACAATTCAGGGACAATATGCCATCCCACACCCAGATGTGAGTTCCAAGTCTCAGCTGTCAAATCTTATTACTGTCAAAAGTCTGCACATTTCTTAGATTTACACCTACTAATATTAACCAGTAATATTAATACAACATTGTTTTCAGTGAAAGCATTCTGAAACCTTCACTTCTCAGGTCTTGGCCTGTTCCATTTTTAAAATGACGGCACTTAAGGAACAAGTTCTTGGTTTGGAGTGATTTTTTCAGATTTAGAATCGCATACACCCAACAGTCTCCACACCCAGGAAATTGCTTTTGACTGATGCCGTGCTCTGTTGCAGTGCTTAGGACTAAGTAGAATGTGATAGAACTGGTCGTCTGGGTGTGGACTCCTCCTAATTTCCACAAGGCCATACATAGTCTCCATTAACCCATCCACCACCTCCCCGTCTTCTTTTTTTTTTTTTTTTACAGCTTTTCTGCTACATATACATACATTTTACATACAGTGGGGAGAACAAATATTTGATACACTGCCGATTTTGCAGGTTTTCCTACTTACAAAGCATGTAGAGGTCTGTAATTTTTATCCAGAAAATCCAGAAAATCACATTGTATGATTTTTAATTAATTAATTTGCATTTTATTGCATGACATAAGTATTTGATAGATCACAAAAGCAGAACTTAATATTTGGTACAGAAACCTTTGTTTGCAATTACAGAGATCATACGTTTCCTGTAGGTGTTGACCAGGTTTGCACACACTGCAGCAGGGATTTTGGCCCACTCCTCCATACAGACCTTCTCCAGATCCTTCAGGTTTCGGGGCTGTCGCTGGGCAATACGGACTTTCACCTCCCTCCAAAGATGTTCTATTGGGTTCAGGTCTGGAGACTGGCTAGGCCACTCCAGGACCTTGAGATGCTTCTTACGGAGCCACTCCTTAGTTGCCCTGGCTGTGTGTTTCGGGTCGTTGTTATGCTGGAAGACCCAGCCACGACCCATCTTCAATGCTCTTACTGAGGGAAGGAGGTTGTTGGCCAAGATCTCGCGATACATGGCCCCATCCATCCTCCCCTCAATACGGTGCAGTCGTCCTGTCCCCTTTGCAGAAAAGCATCCCCAAAGAATGATGTTTCCACCTCCATGCTTCCCGGTTGGGATGGTGTTCTTGGGGATGTACTCATCATTCTTCTTCCTCCAAAAACGGCGAGTGGAGTTTAGACCAAAAAGCTATATTTTTGTCTCATCAGACCACATGACCTTCTCCCATTCCTCCTCTGGATCATCCAGATGGTCATTGGCAAACTTCAGACGGGCCTGGACATGCGCTGGCTTGAGCAGGGGGACCTTGCGTGCGCTGCAGGATTTTAATCCATGACGGCGTAGTGTGTTACTAATGGTTATCTTTGAGACTCTGGTCCCAGCTCTCTTCAGGTCATTCACCAGGTCCTGCCGTGTAGTTCTGGGCTGATCCCTCAGCTTCCTCATGATCATTGATGCCCCACGAGGTGAGATCTTGCATGGAGCCCCAGACCGTGGGTGATTGACCGTCATCTTGAACTTCTTCCATTTTCTAATAATTGTGCCAACAGTTGTTGCCTTCTCACCAAGCTGCTTGCCTATTGTCCTGTAGCCCATCCCAGCCTTGTGCAGGTCTACAATTTTATCCCTGATGTCCTTACACAGCTCTCTGGTCTTGGCCATTGTGGAGAGGTTGGAGTCTGTTTGATTGAGTGTGTGGACAGGTGTCTTTTATACAGGTAACGAGTTCAAACAGGTGCAGTTAATACAGGTAATGAGTGGAGAACAGGAGGGCTTCTTAAAGAAAACTAACAGGTCTGTGAGAGCCGGAATTCTTACTGGTTGGTAGGTGATCAAATACTTATGTCATGCAATAAAATGCAAATTAATTACTTAAAAACCATACAATGTGAATTTCTGGATTTTTGTTTTAGATTCCGTCTCTCACAGTTGAAGTGTACCTATGATAAAAATTACAGACCTCTACATGCTTTGTTAGTAGGAAAACCTGCAAAATCGGCAGTGTATCAAATACTTGTTCTCCCCACTGTACATGGTACTTTTATATACAGCAATCACATACAAATAATACCTTACCAAACATAAGCTATTTAATCCCACCCCTCAGCCATTCTCCGCCCATTCCACCTATCACCATAGACCACCCTCGTTTGGTTTCCATGTGACATATATTTTTCAATTGTGCTGTGAGGTTTTACATACATTTTTTACCTTTCTACTTGCATAGTATCCACAGATTGTGAGATAAAGATGAAAACCTTTCTTGCAAGTACTATTATATTATTTATTGACTGACTATGGCTTTCCAAATCGCCCAACACTGCTATTTGTAAGGTTCATTTGAACCAGAAACAAGCTACATAAGGGGCCAGAATAAATTATCTAGTGATTCTGTATCTTCGCAGCAAAATCTACAGAGCTGACATTGTTGTATGTCCCATATACATAGTATTCTGTTGGTGGCAAGAATGTTGTATAATAATTTAAATTGAAAAACTAAAAGTGTTGAATTAAGTGTTGTTTTTTGTATCAGTTCATAAACCATGTGCCATGGAATCTGTACATTGAACATCTCTTCCCATTTATTTTGCAACCTGTATGGCGCAGCTGTCAACATTTCTGTCCTCAAATGAAACTGGTATATTTTTCTATTTAAGCCAATTCTTTTCAGCCAATTTGTATCTTTAATATATGGCAGACAAACAAGTTCCCCAACTTCTCCCTCTTCCACTTGCCGCCATTTTTGTGGTAATGCTGCAATCAGTTGCTAATAAGTTTGGATTGAGCAGACATTCACATATATTTTCGAAAGCTGCATATGTGACATAACTCCACCATTTCTATTCATAATATCAATAATAAATATAATACTTTTTTTTTTCTTTTTCATAAAGAATGTTTATTTATTAATCAGTATATTTGAGTTTAACCCTAATGTTTGTTGTAATATTTGTTCTATCTTTTCTGGACAATAAAAAAGTCGGAAGTTTACATACACTTAGGTTGGAGTCATTAAAACTCGTTTTTCAACCACTCCACGAATTTCTTGTTAACAAACTATAGTTTTGGCAAGTTGGTTAGGACATCTACTTTGTGCATGACACAAGTAATTTTTCCAACAATTATTTACGGACAAATTATTTCACTTATAATTCACTGTATCACAATTCCAGTGGGTCAGAAGTTTACATACACTAAGTTGACTGTGCCTTTAAACAGCTTGGAAAATTCCAGAAAATGATGTCATGGCTTTAGAAGCTTCTGATTTGAGTCAATTGAACGTGTTCCTGTGGATGTATTTCAAGGCCTACCTTCAAAGCTTGACATCATGGGAAAATCAAAAGAAATCAGTCAAGACCTATTTGTAGACGTCATACCGCTCAGGAAGTCTCCTAGAGATGAACATACTTTGATGAGGAAAGTTCAAATCAATCCCAGAACAACAGCAAAGTACCTTGTGAAGATGCTGGAGGAAACAGGTACAAAAGTATCTATATCCACAGTAAAATGAGTCCTATATCAACATAACCTGAAAGGCCGCTCAGCAAGGAAGAAGCCACTGCTCCAAAACCGCCATAAAAAAGCCAGACTACGGTTTGCAACTGCACATGGGGACAAAGATGGCACTTTTTGGAGAAATGTCCTCTGGTCTGATGAAACAAAAATAGAACTGTTTGGCCATAATGACCATTGTTATGTTTGGAGGAAAAAGGGGGGGCTTGCAGGCCGAAGAACACCATCCCAACCGTGAAGCATGGGGGTGGCAGCATCATGCTGTGGGGGTGCTTTGCTGCAGGAGGGACTGGTACACTTCACAAAATAGATGGCATCATGAGGAAGGAAAATTATGTGGATATATTGAAGCATTTCAAGACATTAGTCAGGAAGTTAAAACTTGGTTGCAAATGGGTCTTCCAAATGAACAATGACCCCAAGCATAATTCCAAAGTTGTGGCAAAATGGCTTAAGGACAACAAAGTCAAGGTATTGGAGTGGCCATCACAAAGCCCTGACCTCAATCCTATAGAAAATGTGTGGGCATAACTGAAAAAGCGTGTGTGAGCAAGGAGGCCTACAAACCTGATTCAAGTACACCAGCTCTGTCAGGAGAAATGGGCCAAAATTCACCCAACTTATTGTGGGAAACCTGTTGAAGGCTACCCGAAACGTTTGACCCAAGTTAAACAATTTAAAGGCAATGCTACCAAATACTAATTGAGTGTATGTAAACTTCTGACCCATTGGGAATGTGATGAAATAAATAAAAGCAGAAATAAATCGTTCTCTCTACTATTATTATAATTATTATTATTCTGACATTTCACATTCTTAAAATAAACGGGTGATCCTAACTGACCTAAGACAGGGCATTTTTACTAGGATTAAATGTCAGGAATTGTGAAAAAGTTTAAATATATTTGGCTAAGGTGTATGTAACATTCCGACTTCAACTGCAGTCTCCATTAATAATTTCACTTAATCTGTCTCGAGCATCTCGAGAGCTATCGCGTGTTAGGTCTTTTAATTCGGAGAAGGCAGTGATTGATGGCAGGGGAGCCATTGGTTGACATTACAATCACTCAAGTAGGGCCTCGACATCCTCCCCACCCTCATTTAAGCTACTCTTTAATGGGTGAGAGCATTCACAAGCATCCGTCTCGCTCATTATTGATAGCAATGATAGACAGTGAGGGAAGATTGTCAACTTTTAAGTTTCATATGGGCCAAGTGTTGTTTGACTGACAGCCAGGCCCATGAAGGTTGTCTTGTTGGTCTTGGCAAGGTTGTCCATCTCTGGCTTACTGTAAGAAATTGTTTGAGTGGTCAATCAGGATTTATACTGTATGTTACTAGATGATAAATTGTAAAGAAGAAAAACAGGATTTGTGAATTTCAGACTGATGTGTCATCCACTTTGTAAGATGAGCATATTGTTCCATCATGGTTATGCACCATCGTTATGCACCAAAGTGACCTGAATACAGTTTTGAATTAAGGAGTTTTGGATGAAACAACAGTAAAAAAAAAAGAAAAAAAAAGAAATAACTATCCCTTTCCAGGTCCAATAAGTCACATTTTGTGAAATGACAAACTACGATCTCACACAGATTTAAGTTACTGGCCAATGCCTGTAAGATCACGTCGTTCTGTGTTCTAAATTGAAACAGACAGTTTCAGCCCCAAACCAGTCATGGCTAATCTTAAATAAAACATTAAAACTATACAACAAATGTAGACGTTTTCTTTCCTTAGCTTGTCTAATTGCATAACCTTAAGTCTAGCTCATAAGGTTTGTGATTGCAATTGCAGTATTCACTGTATTTTAGCCTTGAAACAGTTGTAGACTCCAACTCTAGGCGACATAATAATGGAGACTACAGCTGTGTCTCAGGGCTATATTTATTTAATCAGACAATTTCGGACGTGAGTCAGCAATTTTTGACAGGCTAGCTTCGTCTGGGTACGTGAGTCAGCCATTTTTGACAGGCTAGCTTCGTCTGGCTACACTACCGAAAAGCAACGTGATCCTTGGTACATGATGTGAATACAGAATCGACTAGTTTTTGGGAAATATACTTTTCAACAAATAGGGAGGGGTAGGCAAGTCAAACATTTTTAACAGATTATGACCTTTCAATTATATTCATATCATAGACATTACGATAAATGTTGCAAAGCAACTCAAATTACTGGACCTTTAACCAGAAAACCAACCAGATTGAAGTGTTCACACAGACATTGCATCACAGATAGATGCATTAAATTAGAATGTTAAGAAGTTAGTTGATGTCTTCATTACCAATCAATGGAAAATATTATAATGCAACAAGTTGTCTGTGTTGATCTTCCCTGTGAAAAAGCTGCATCTCTGCTGATTACGCAATCCATCTGCTATTACAAACTGGATACAGCAGCAAATATAACACCCCATCTCAACCATATTGGGCTAAGTCCTTCTCAAGTTCTCTCTCGCTCTCTCTCTCTGTGTCTCTCATTCTCTCTGTCTCTCTGTCTGTCTCTCTTTTGCTCTCTCGTCTCCCACCACCATGTGCCATGCTTCCTCTCCTCACTGTTTCTCCTCACTGTTCTAGTTTTAAGTTCTTGATTTCTTGTCGGTGTGACCTTGTGTTATTACAATAACCTCTTAGTTCTACTGTCGCTCCTACCCCCCTCAGCAGTTGACCAAGCTCCACCAGTTGGCTATGCAGCAAACCCCCTTTACCCCCCTCGGACAGACCACCCCTGCTTTCCCTGGTACGTACCCACAAGCCCTCTCTCAACACTTCCTTCTCTTTGTACCTGTAGACACTCATCTCGCTCTTCTTTTTCTCTCTTTCCTCTCTTTCCCCATGACCCTGGTGGTTGCTTTCCTCCTAAGCTTGGCTTTTTGTTTGGCTCTGCCTTCATTTAGTCGACCAGAGCTGGTCTTTGGTTGATCTTTTGTCATGCATGAGGACTCTATTTTGAAATACCATCTGGCAACAACTATAGGCTACATCCCAGCTACGGTCTCTTTTGAGATTGAGTTAGTTCCCAGTTAATATGAAAAGGACAGACTCATCATAAAATGGACAGTGGACAACTCAAGTCTCCTGCATCTGTATTATTTGGTTTGGACCTCAGTATAATAATTATTTTCCTCATATAATGTAAAACTCAGGTATTTGTAAAAGACACAATCAAGGTCTCATGAATAAAGATGGCTCCGTTTGATTCCTCTTTCCACCAGTGTCATCTACAAGGACTTGACGATTACCATTTTATACATGTCAGGATTGATTGATTAAAACAACAACCAGCTTTTCAGGCCCTTCAAAATATGTCTTGACCATACATTTCAGTGAGTTCCTGATTCCTAAATGCCTTTCAAAACACCTCCCAAGAATCACGAGGAGGAACATCATAAAAACATCCAGCTGAGAATGTTCTATTAATTTGAAAAAAGCAAGTCGGTTGGACTTTATTTGACGGTGATATCACTATTTTGTACTTGTTTCAGAGCAGGCAATGCACCAATCAATAGGCCTACATAAACTCGCACTCTCTTTCACAAACACCTGACTGACAGTACATGACTGTACAGTGGGGTCCAAAATGATTGTAATTATTATTGTAATTGATTAAATTACACCCTTGATAAAGATGAGCAAAAAATAATGTATAAAATAAATAATATTTGTATGCTCAAGATAATGGGAAAATTATTGTATTTTATACTAATACAATTGCTCAGAGAAATAGATTTTGTTTAACAAGTCATATATTTTTTCTCAAAATGATAGTGGTCAAAATGATTGGCACCCCTGTTTTCAGTACCTTTCAATACCTCACCTTGCGAGGATAATAGCACTGAGCCTTTTTCTAAAATGTTTTGTGAGATTGGAGAACACATTGGGACCATTCCTCCATACAGAATCCTTCCAGATCCTTAATATCCTTCATCAGCGCTTATGGACTGCCCTCTTCAATTCAAACCACAGGTTTTCAATGGGGTTCTAGTTCAGAGACTGACCATTGGAAAATGTTGAATTTGAGGTCAATTAACAATTTCTTTGTGGATTATGATGTGTGCTTGGGGTTATTGTCTCCCTGGTAAATCCACTTGCTGCCAAGTTTCAGCCTCCTGGCAGAGGCAACCAGGTTTTTGGCTAAAATGTCCTGGTACTGGCTAAAGTTCATGATGCCATTGACCTTAACAAGGGTCCCAGGACAACTGGAATCAAAATAGTTCCATAACATCAAAGGTACACCACCATATTTTACAGTAGGTATGGGGTTCTTTTTTGTTTATGCAGCCTTATTTCGACACCAAACTCACCACTCTATTTTCATGTCATCCAACAAATGTAAACACCTGGAGTTTTCTAAAAGGCATTGGCACTTAGATTGGAACCGGTGCTAATGTCAGATGACATGAAAATACAGCTCTATGGCCACGCACATTGTTACAGGCTTGGTTTTTCTCTCCATTTTAGCATGTGTACCTAGTACCTTAACACGTTGTGGGGTGCACTGATTGGAGTCACCTCGTTAGTCAGTATCTGTTTCAACTGTATTGAACTGCCCAGCTGGTATTTAAGACCTGCTAGCCCAGTCCATCAGGTGGGGAGGAGACGTTGGAAGAGCTACATGTCATGTTATCTCTTCCACCCAGCCGAACAAAGCCTTCATCCTCCCCTACTCCTCCCTTTCCTAAGTTGGTGTGTTTTTTATTTTATTTGTCTGTTCTCATGCAAATCCAGTGGGTGTCCATGGTTGGTGTCTTTTAAGACCCTACTCTATTTACTTGGCCAGCAACCAGTAGACACCCCTATGTTCGCTCTAATCACCTACTCTGAAGCTCTACTGTGCCAAAATATTTGAGTGTTCAAACAATACTATTGTTGTAGAGTTTCTGTCGCTACCAACCAACATTGGGGTTATAGGATTAGTGAATGTTTCATAAGCACATAGGGAACAAAACATGGACTTTGATTTGGGAGCATTTGTAGAAAACCCTACTTGGGAGATACTAGATAAGTGTACGAAGGTGAATCTGCTCAACATTGCAAAGCAGTATGACATAAGTATGACCTCTGCCGATTCAAAAGCAGTAGTCAAAGAGTTACTTGATGCTGCTTTGGTGGAGAAGGAAATCCTCCCGGAGAGAGAGGGTGATCAAATCAAATCAAATCAAATCAAATCAAATTTTATTGGTCACATGCGCCGAATACAACAGGTGCAGACATTACAGTGAAATGCTTACTTACAGCCCTTAACCAACAGTGCATTTATTTTAAACAAAAAAAGTAAGAATAAAACAACAACAAAAAAAGTGTTGAGAAAAAAAGAGCAGAAGTAAAATAAAGTGACAGTAGGGAGGCTATATATACAGTAAAATAAAGTGACAGTAGGGAGGCTATATATACAGGGGGGTACCGTTGCAGAGTCAATGTGCGGGGGCACCGGCTAGTTGAGGTAGTTGAGGTAATATGTACATGTGGGTAGAGTTAAAGTGACTATGCATAAATACTTAACAGAGTAGCAGCAGCGTAAAAAGGATGGGGTGGGGGGGCAGTGCAAATAGTCCGGGTAGCCATGATTAGCTGTTCAGGAGTCTTATGGCTTGGGGGTAGAAGCTGTTGAGAAGTCTTTTGGACCTAGACTTGGCACTCCGGTACCGCTTGCCGTGCGGTAGCAGAGAGAACAGTCTATGACTAGGGTGGCTGGAGTCTTTGACAATTTTGAGGGCCTTCCTCTGACACCGCCTGGTATAGAGGTCCTGGATGGCAGGGAGCTTTGCCCCAGTGATGTATTGGGCCGTACGCACTACCCTCTGTAGTGCCTTGCGGTCAGAGGCCAAGCAGTTGCCATACCAGGCGGTGATGCAACCAGTCAGGATGCTCTCGATGGTGCAGCTGTAGAATTTTTTGAGGATCTGAGGACCCATGCCAAATCTTTTTAGTCTCCTGAGGGGGGGGGGGGGGGTGATGATGATGATGATGATGATGATGATGAAAAGGATCCTACGGGGAGTAGAGAGAAGCCCGTAGATGTGCAGCTGCGGGAGTAGAACTACAGGCAAAATTGGAGAAACAGAAGTTAGGGGTTGAGGACAAGAAAAGAGAACCCGAGTGGCGCAGTGGTCTAAGGCACTGCATCGCAGTGCTAGCTGTGCCACTAGAGATCCTGGTTCGAATCCAGGCTCTGTCGTAGCCGGCCGCGACCGGGAGACCCATGAGGCGGTGCACAATTGGCCCAGCGTCGTCCAGGGTAGGGGAGGGAATGGCAGGCAGGGATGTTGGTAGAGCATGGCGTTTGCAACGCCAGGGTTGTGGGTTCGATTCCCACGGGGGGCCAGTATGAAAAAAATATATATATATAATGTATGCACTCACTAACTGTAAGTCGCTCTGGTTAAGAGCGTCTGCTAAATTACTAAAATGTAAAAAAAAAAAAAAAAAAATTAGTTAGTGCAAATAGAAAAGGAAAAATTATGTGCAGCCAGAACGTACGGAGAAGATGAAGAACGTGTGCATGCCATCCAATTTAAAGAGGTAATCTGGAAGTACTCCGAATCGAGACAGGCTGTCCTCCCCCCTCAGCAGAGTTTGATCTTGGTCGGAACAGCCGGCTTGTCCCGCCTTTTAACAAAAAGGAGGTGTACGTATATTTTACTCTGTTTGAGCGGACTGCCACGTCCCTAAAGTGGCCGCACGATATCTGGTCATGCTCCTACAAAGTAGTCTTGTGGGAAAAGCTCAGAAAGTGTACGCCACTTTATCTCTTGAGCAGAGTTCAGATTATGACTCTGTTAAAGCTGCTATCCTTCAGGTTTACGAGCTAACTTAAAAAATAAAAATGAGAGCGAGAAAAAGCAGTTTCTTCTTGTGGGAGCCCCCCAGCCCATTAAGTCGCAGGTGCTCCTACAGCAAGACGACAGCGATATTGAGCACACTGTGGGGTACTTTTCAAAGAAGTTAGCCTCCTAGCAAAAAGCACTACTCCACCATCGAGAAAGAAGTGCTTGCTTTGAACATGGCTTTCAGCACTTCAATGTTACAGTGCCTTCAGAAAGTTTTCACATCCCTTGACTTTTTCCACATTTTGTTGTGTTACAGCCTGAATTTAAAATTGATTAAATTGAGATTTTGTGTCACTGGCCTACACACAAAACCCCATAATGTCAAAGTAGAAATATGTTTTTAGACATTCTTACAAATTAATAAAAAATGAAAAGCTGAAATGTTTTTAGTCAGTAAGTATTCAACCCCTTTGTTATGGCAAGCCTAAATAAGTTCAGGAGTAAAAATGTGCTTAACAAGTCACATAATAAGTTGCATGGACTCACTCTGTGTGCAATAATAGTGTTTAATTACACTTTGGATGGTGTATCATTAAACCCAGTCACTACAAAGATACAGGCATCCTTCCTAATTCAGTTGCCAGAGAGGAAGGAAACCGCTCAGGGATTTCACTATGAAGCCAATATTGACTGTAAAACAGTTACAGAGTTTAATGGCTGTGATAGGAGAAAAATGAGGATGGATCAACAACATTGTAGTTACTCCACAATTATAACCTAATTGACAGTAAGGATTTCCTTCCTAATAATAATGTAAAATTAACACATTTACAGAAAGACCTGTGTGAAGGCCAACTTACAGAAGAGGAACTTTTTGAGGCAATTAAATATTTTCAGTCTGGAAAAACACCAGGGCTTGATGGTATACCAGTAGAGGTATATCAGACCTTTTTTTGATGTACTAAAAGATCCATTATTACCATGTTTTAATTACTCCTATAAAATGGTAGACTTTCAGGTACTCAACAAGAAGGTCTGATTGCATTACTACTAAAACAGGACCCAGGTGGTAAGTATAAAGATCCAGTCCATTTAAAAAACTGGAGGCCTCTTACACTTCAATGTTGTTGTGATGTGAAAATCCTGACGAAA